GGATCCCAAATGGGACCCTAATTTAGAGAACTACCCATATAAAACAAAACAGCCCGAAGGGCACTTCGTATTGACACTTTTGTCTATAGTCCTCTCTGTCGGACTTCCCGAAGCCTGGTAGGTAGGGTTTGAAGGCTACGGATTGAAGGTTGAAGGGTGTATAGGGTTTAGTGTGGGTTGAAGCGGAGTAGCTGCGAACATCGTATCTCCACGCTGCCAAGCATTCGTAGAACTTGAACCACAAGGCCACACCAGACACAACAACCAAACAACACCTCTGAATCTGCAACCAATTTTACGTCCTATCCGCCCCCTTGCAAAAAGCCAAGAGATCCAGGATTCCCGAACCATAAACCCTAATTCTTTACAACAAAAGAAACAGACAAGAGATCAAAGCTCCCTACAACACCGCCCTTCCGAATCTTCGAGGCAAAACATGCCGTCGCCAAGCGCGCTGCCTCCCCGAGGTCTTGGTCCCAGCCGTTTTTTGGCTTTTCTTGTTGTAACCCTAAACCCTAAACCCTAAACCCTAAACTTTGTCACAGTTGGGTGACATTTCCATTTTATGGGTACTTAATTCCAATAAGGAATACAAACTTAAATGCTGAATACTGTCCCAACCATGAACTACGTAAGGTTATCACGTGGTGAATTAGGTCTTAGGGTTGTCAAGGGTTTAGAGTTGAGGTTTTAGGCTTGCTGTTGTCTTCTTTTAGAAAGCCCTTGTAATTTTGTACAACTCCACCTGCAAAGACCCTCGCCCAAAAAACGTATAGCAGCCCGATAAATCGCTCATGAAACTCTTTAGTTCCGCCAAAAACTACGCGACCAAACCTTGTGAAGCCCTATATGGCAGCACTGTACCCTAAACTCCAAAGCCTAAACCCTCCACAGCCCTTGCGGCTTGTGAAAAGGAGCCGCGCATGTACTTGGAAAATCACGTGGCTCAGTGAGCAAGGTTACAAGTACTTTGAAGTAATACAGGGACCTCAATAATTACTAATTAAAACCATTTTGGGGGTTCTTTACTATGATTATAGGACAATATACCCAAAAAACTATTTTAATTATTCAGGCCCCTATAGTATCTATACTTTCTTTACATAATAGTAATAATCCCCAGGTACTAAGATCCATGAGCCCTCAATGCCCTAAACCCTTGTAGATCCCTCAAAAAAGGAACCCTTGAGAAAAAGCCCTAAAGCCCTAGAACCTAAACCCTGTGGCAACCCGTGTACTTGGAGGGTCGGGGGACTCAGTAAATGGGTAATTTGTAGACTTATAAGTACTATAACCCCAACTAGGGTCCCTTTTAGGGTACCTATAAGTCTACTTATTACCTACTTACTAAGTCTCCCGACCCTCCCAGTAGTACAGGTGCCCAAACCCTAAACCCTAAACCCTAAACCCTAAACCGGCCTGAAGCTTTTATAGCAACCCTTTGAGACCTAAACCCACAGGAGGACCTCTATAAGGAACCAGAACAGACCCTAAACCCGAAACCGTAAAGTAAACCCTAAACCCTAAAGTACCCTTATAGGGAGCCCTTATCGTACCTTAAACCCTAAAACCCTAAAGAACCCCAAATCCTAAACCCCAACCC